CAAGTTTGACGCATGTCGATGGACGTCCGATGCAACATCGACGCATTAGTGGAGCGCGTGCCTCCAGAAATACACCTAAAATTAACATCTGACCGATGCAGGGTAACGAGTAGGAAACGACAGGTGCAGAAGGTAAGATAACTGAAAACAATTGGAGAGGACGATCCAGAAACCTCGATGATGACGACGGCGCCCACGAGGAGGCTTGGAACCCAATCTACAGACCAGTCGCCCAGGGCTCTGCTGCGTGACGCCGCCTCCCCCCCCGTTTTCTGGGCATGCCTTTTACCGCCATCCTACAGGAGGAGGAGGAGGAGGAGGAGGAGGAGGAGGAGGAGGAGGGGGAGGAGGAGGAGGAGGAGGAGGAGGAGGAGGGAGAGGAGGAGGAGGAGGACAAGGACGAGGACGAGGACGAGGAGGAGGAGAGGAGGAGGAGGAGGAGGAGGGATGGGGGGACGACCGCCCCAGCGCGCTCCAGAATGCTCACGGAGCGTCCTGAATGGCTCTGGAGCTGCCCTGGCGCCCGAGACATCGTCCAGACCCGCCCCCCTTCGTCTTCCTGATCCTCCTCCTCGTCCTCCTCGAGCTTCCTCGTCCTTCTCTTCCTTCTCCTCCTCCCTCCTCCTCCTCCTCCTCCTGCTCCTCCTCCTCCTCCTCCTCATCCTCCTCATCCTCATCCTCCTTCTCACATGCTTTGGCGTGCATTGTGACCACAGTGCCCTCCAGGGTGGTGGCACCAGGAAGCTGGGCCCACTAGTGGGGTTAAGGCTCCCAAAACCATATTACCTCAAGTCCTCATAATCCTCTTCCTGATCCTCCTCCTTCTCCTTCTCCTCCGTCCCCTCCTCCTCCTTCTCCTCCTCATCCTCCTCCTTCTCCTCCTAAGCCCGTCTTCTCCGCCTCCCAATCCTTCTCCTGATCCTCCTCTCGATTTCCCTCATAGGTCTCAGAGCTTCGTGATTCCCATCCGAGTTCGTAGTATGCTTGTCTTCGTCTTAACCTGCACCGCCCCCGAGGCGCGTCTTCGCACTTGCGGCGGGGAAGGTTCGCGGGGGGGGGTGGGGGACAGCGCCCGGGCGGCCGACGTCATGTGTTTTGTCTGCGGCATGGGTCCTCCGACCTCTCGACCGCTCGACTCAGAAGGGGGGCGGCGTGTCATCCCGGGCTGCTTTACTCGGCAGCGCCGGCACCAGCAAAAGGGGCCTCTAGACTCTGGACGCCCGAGATGAGCACGGAAAGAACGGGTACGATGCTCAACAGCAGTTCCTGTTCATTCTGAACAGGATTCGCTGTCCGCGCCGCCGCGGCCTGTGTCCATTCGAGACAGAAGGCCGCCCGCCCAACAGCGGCCGCTGTTGGTTTGGGACAACACTTGTTGTTGGGCATTGTACCCATTCTTTCGGTACCCATTTCGGGTGTCCAAATAGACTTGTACCAGCGCGGGCGAAGAACGGACGCCTTTCCCAGAGCGGCTGGAAGGTTTAGCATACCCTCACAGTGGCAGCCGGGGGTACGAAACTTTCCAGCCGCCCCGGGACAGGAGTCGACAACGGCGAAAAAGCCTGCTGTGTATCGTCCGTCGGAGCCTGAAAACAGGAAAGCAGCCGTCGAACTTATGCTACAGACGACGGAGGATTTGGAGGGGGGCCCAAAATCGTCCCCCCAGACTTCTCTTGGCGTTCTGGCCAGAGCTTCGAGGCCGATGTGGTCGTGGCGACGCGAGAGCTCCTCAAGACGATCCTCCAAAGGGCAAAACAGATCACAGAGCCTCGATCCCCCCTCGTCGTTGTTGTAGTCTGCGGCTATGGTGGAGAATCAAGGGGACCGCAGAACTGCGGAGATGATGGATCTCCGAGGAGATGGACGGATGATGATGATGATGATGATGATGATGATGATGATGATGATGATGATGATGATGATGATGATGATGATGCTGATGCTGATGCTGATGCTGATGCTGATGCTGATGCTGATGCTGATGATGATGCTGATGTTGATGTTGATGCTAATGCTGATGTTGATGCTGATGCTGATGTTGACGATTCTGATGATGATGATGATGACCATGATGATGATGATGATGATGATGATGATGATGATGATGATGTGATGATGATGATGATGCTGATGCTGATGCTGATGCTGATGCTGATGATGACGATGATGATGATGATGATGATGATGATGATGATGATGATGATGATGATGATGATGATGATGATGACGACCATGATGCTGATGATGATGAGGAGGAGGAGGAGGAGGTTGAGGAGGAGGAGGAGGAGAAGACGGTGGAGGAATGGGGGAGGTGAAGGAGCAAGAATGCGCGGAGGTCTCAAAAAATCTCGTGAGGTCCGCGCGGAGGTCTCTGGGGGTATCCTGAGGTCTCCGGAGGCCTCCAGAGGCTCCGCAAAAATGGATGGAAAGACGGAGGTCGAGGAGGAAAAGGTTGAAGAGTTTGAGGCTCCCAAAGAGAAGGAGGTTGAGGAGGAGAAGGAGAAATAAGTTGAGGATGGGGAATTGCAAGCTTGTTATCTCGGTCCTGATCGTAAGGATTCATGTGGCCTCTGAGGGCACCTTGCTTACATTGCAGTCGCCTGAGGCTAGTCAATCTTCAGAACAGGGACGAGTTCGCGCTTGCTGGGGAGGAGGAAGAGGACGTTGAGGAGGAGGGGGATGTCAGGAGGATAACGAGGAGGTCTGTGAGGAGGAAGATACGTTCGCGTGCCTCGTCCACCCTCCTGCCAAGAGGCCGCCTGCATCAAGAAGACCCTTGATCTCCGCGGTTGGTCGGCGAGGCCAGGCTGCCACCTCTCGCGTGGCTCCCGCGGTCGCGAGGGGGCGGCACAGGGCGGGGCCTTGGGCGGTTGTCCAGCCTCTTTCCTCCTCGTCCTCCTCCCCCTCCTCCACCTTCTCCTCCTCCTCCCCTCTCGCTCCATTTGTCCGCCTTTTCCCACTATCCCTCCCTCTGCTTCCTCCCGTTGTACGTAGTTGCCCCTGCTTGGGCGAGCAATGGTCGTAGGGTCATCCTCCTCGTCTTTCTCCCCTTCCTCATTTTCCTGCTCCTCGTCTTCCTTGTCCTCCGTATCTCTCTCCTCGTCCTCCTCCCTCCTTCCTCTTGCGCATCCCTCCCCTCATCATCCTCTTCCTCTGCCTCCTCGTGCTCCCCTCTCCTCTCCTCCTCCTCGTCCTCCTCCTCCTCTTCCTTCTCCCTGCCTACAAAGAGGAGCAAGGTGACTTGTCAACTCGGGTGGACGCCCACGTTTCGCCATGCAGGGCGTGTGAGACCCCGCTTTGTGCTGCTCCACGCCCGCTGCCCAAGGGCTTTGAGGGCCGCAGGAGGTGGGCATTGCCTCGGGGGGGAGCATCGACCCCTGATCACCCACCATGGTCTATTTCGATGCGATTGATCCCCTTCGATATTGATTTTGGCCAGTTCTATCCGATTCGATTTCGACATTCTGGGGCGATGAGATGCGACCAGAGGCTCTTGCGTGGCGCTGCTGCGCATCGTGACGCAGCCGACCAGGGCAGATTTCGATTCCGTGCCGACGCAGCCCGATCCGACGCACGCTCCGACCCGATTCGATCTCCCGATTCAATGCCGACTGATCTTGCCCATTATTGCCGATCAAGGTGTTGGTGGAACGCGTGTTTCTGCCAGTAGTGGGGCGATCGCCGACTTGTTAGGGATGCGATGTCGGATCCAAGCCGACGTCCTCCCCACCTGAGCCAGTCCTTTCTTTCTGCCTCCCCGCAGACCAAAGACCGGGGGGTGAGCTCTAGGATGTGTCTAGGAGGTGCGCACCCTCTAGGAATGTCCGAAATGGCTGTTTGATTTGTTCAACACCTCTGATGTCTAGGTGGGTGTGCATCCCCTAGGAACTACCTCTCTGATCTGTTCGACATCTTTGATGCCTGGGTGAGTGCGCATCCCCTGGGAACGACGTCATACCTTGTGAACTGTTCAAAGACTTGGGCAACTGGGTTGGAGTACATCCCCTGTGAACGACGACATACATAACTGATCTGTTTAACACCCTGGATGTCTGGTGGATTTGCATCCCCTGGAAACGGCGGCATACCTCTTCGATCTGTTCGACACCTTGAATGTCTAGGTGGCTGCGCAGTCTCTTGCAACGACGAAGCACATGTTTTCTCCATCTGTTCAGCACCTGGGTGGGCGTGCATCCCCTGGGACCGGCGACGCACCCCTGTGATCTGTTCACTGCCCTGGATGTCTGGGTGGGCGTGCACCCCCCGGCGCCCTGCCGGGGCGCCCTCGCCGACCGACCGCGGGCCCCCCGTCTCCTGGACCGCCTCGTCATCGCGGAGACCAACATGGGGCGGCAGGTGCCCGACCCCCACGGCGGGGGGGGGGAGGGGCAGCGCCGGGCGAGGGAGACGATCGGGGGAGGGCGGTGCCCCGAGGGTTTTTGGGACCTCGGGCGCACCGCGTTTTCGAGGTTTTCGAGGGGCCTTCGGCCCAGGGCTTGAGGTTTTCTCAAGGCCTTCGAGGTTCGAGGCCGACGGGGTCAGCGGCTGGCCGGCTGGGAGGGCCACAGCGTGCAAGAGCTGAGGAGGGCGGAGAGAGGATCAGGGGGAACTTTTTTCGCGACGTCGGATGGAGGTTTTCGGAAGTTTTCGTCGGCTCTGGACGCTTTTCCAACCTCTCGATGCTTTCTAGCAGCAGCGCCTCGCCTAGAGCGCTTTGGGGGTGCCCGGATCGTCCCAAACAGCCGTCGGAGAGCCAAGTTCGACGAAATCTATGCATATCCTCTGCTCCTTGGTCGGGCCCTTCCTGGGCCCAGGGGTTGTGTGTCTGAGGATGGCCCCGGCCAGGGAGCAGTGGACACGTATAGATTTCGTCGACCGAGCGTTCCGCCTGAAGAGGAAGAGGGTTCCATCGCCGATTCAAGAAATCCGCGCAGACCTCCGAAAACTTACGTTTGTGCAGACGTTTCTTCCTGTAGGTTTGGGACATCATTCTGGTTGTCATGCTTGTCTACATCGGCATCGTGTTCCCCTACAGGCTCGCTTTCCTTCATTTCAGGCTGCGGGCCACCGCGGACGAGTGCAGTAGCTACGAGGAGCCTCTTCCCTGGTACATCTGGGAGGAGGCAGTCTTCTGGTTCTTCTGGGTCGACCTCTTCCTGAACTTCTTCCTGACGTTTCGCCGCGAAAGTGACGACGCGGAGGAGTTCAGTTGGAAAGAGATTGCGAAGCGCTACCTGACCCGGCTTTTTATTATCAATCTGGTTGCGTGCTTGCCAGCAGACGCTTTTGCGCCCCTGGCGTACTTCCTGTCAACGGACGGAGGCGACGGTTGCGCGACGTCTGGGGAAAGCAATCAGGCGGTGCGGCTGGCGCGCTTGCAGCGGGCCACGCGGCTTGCCAGGCTCGCCAGGCTAACGCGGTTGGTGAAGATCTTGTCCTTCATGCAGAAAGACAACAACATCCTGAGATTCCGTGGCCTCCGCATGTGCAATTGGATATTTTTCCTTTTCTGGGTGGTGCACCTAATGGCGTGTGGCTGGTATCTTTGTGCATCTTTGCACAACGACCACTCCCAGACTTGGGTGGCACGCCGAATGATCGACGCCGACGGTGAGTACTCGCTGGTGCTCGCTGAACCCGAAGTGCAGTACACGCACTCATTTTACTTCGTGCTGACGGTCTTCACCACGGTCGGCTTTGGCGACATGTCTGCGATGACTACTGGCGAGATTGGATACGTCAGCTTCACCATGATAATAGGCCTCGTGGTCAACAGCATCGTCATCGGCGAGGTGATCAACCTCGTCAGCGAGGTTGATCTGGATACCAGGTGGAGGAAGCAGCAGGCGGAGCTCCTGGAGGCCTACGGGCAGCACGCCTGCCTCAGTGCCGAGTCCGTCGAGCAGCTCACAAACTTTGTCCACAAGCTTGGCACTAAAGGCCGGACCTACAACGACGCCGCGGTGCGCAAGCTGATGACGACCGAGGCCATCCCACGCAAGTTGCTCGGCGCGATCCCTGGACAGCTCTTCAATGGGCTGCTGATCGAGAACAAGCTGATGGCTGCGTGCACCCGGAGCTGCCCAGGTGGCGTAATGCCCCCCCGCTTTGCCATCTTGCTCTCCACGATGCTCAAGTCACAGAGGTTCAGCTCGGGGGACATGGTCTACCAGGAAGGTGACAACTCCTTCAGCCTCTACCTCGTGCTCACCGGCACGTTCTCCTTCGTGGGGGAGGCGCACGAGGACGGCGGCATGGACGCCTGCCCCTTTCCGGACGACAGGACGGTGACTTTCGCAGCTTCCAGGGGCCGGAAGAGGGTCGCCTTGGAGGGCGCCAAGCGGAGCAGCGGCAAGGACACGGCCGTCCTGAACCCTCCAGAGAGCGAGCGCCAGTACAGTGGCACGCTGCGCAACTGGCGTGTCTTCTCTGCGCTGGGCCAGAGCGCGGGCGCCTGGACCCCCGAGGGCACGGGCGGGCCGCACTGGATGGTCATCAACCTCTCGGCGGAGCGCGCCGTGTGCGGCGTCGTCGTGCAGGGCTGCCCCCGCCATACCGGGTGGGTGACCGAGTTCAGGGTTCTCAGGGGAGGAGGAGTTACCCTTGATGTGGGCCTGTCCCTCTACAGGAGGAGTGTTCAAAAATAGCTTGAAAAGATAGTCCGGGGACGGTTTCTCTGTTTATGTTTGACTACTTGGGGGTATTTTCCGAGTATGTCAAATTTTTCGCCCAAGATCCGCCTGTAGGGGGACATGCCCGACCGATGCCGCTGCCCTGGCCTCGTTCGTGTTCGCCCCGTCGTGGCCTCGGGGGAGGATCTAGTCGCCACCGCTGGGTTCGCCTCGAGATTCTGGTCAGAACGCACCCCGCGAGAGGTCCGTGGAGTGGCGGTGTCGGCATCTTTGGGTTTGCCCATGTTGTGGACAAATCGTCACAAATACAAGCGAACGCTGATTTTCATGAAATGTCAGCCAGTGCGTACCCAAACAGTGATTTCCTGCAATCGACGCGGTGCAATCTGTGCGGTGCAATCAATGTCGTGCAATCTAGGTGGTGCAATCTTCGTGGTGCGCTCTTCGTGGCGCAAAATGGTGTAACGACATGCAAAGCGATGCAAAGCGACGGGTCCCAGCGGCGGCGGCGGCGACGGGTGGCGACGGGTGGTGACGAGCCGGCCAGACCGACACCTGGGCCCAGCGGCCACAGCGGCGACGTTCGGGGAAAGCAATGACCCCTCAGTGCAAGCATTGTCTTTGGGGAAATACAGGAAGAGATGGGAAATGGAGGGAAGCGGAAACTCCGGGAAATATGTTGAAACACTTAGGACATCCTGAAATATGTGTCGATTGATGTGTGTTTCCCCTGGGTAGATTTTCGGGACAGAGAGCACCTGGAGCCGCTGCGTGACCATATTGTAGCCTTCTTGGAGGTATGCCGGAAGCTGTTTGAACCATGGAAGGCCTTTTGGAGGATGGGCAGGGCTTCGAGACCGCTCCGCTCGGTCTCTGCGCGCGCTGCGACGAGCGCGGCGACAGCGCCGTCATCTCCCCTCCCCCTTTTTTATCTTCGTGTCTCACTCTCATCACATGGGGGGAGTATCAAGTTCCTGGGGGCGGCACGTGCCCTAAACCAGGGCCTCCAGAATCGCCGCCCGAAAAAGGGGCATCACCGTCATTTCCTATTTTCCGCCATCGCAAACAGGCAATGTGACGGCACCGCGCCGTCCTTATTAAAAACCAATGCGAAGGGATCGCTGGGCGCCCACGCATGATCCAGTTTTTTCTGCAAAGTGCATGTTGAGAGAAAGAGAGAGAGAGAGAGAGAGAGAAAAAAAAAAGAGAGAGAAATAAATAAATAAAGAAAGAAAGACAGAGAAATATCATGTGTGCGTGTGTGTGTGGTCTGTGTGCGTGTGTGTGTGTGTGTGCGTATGTGCACGTGTGTGTGTGTGTGTGTGTTCTGGGGGGGAAGCGCCGCATGGCGTCGGGTTTGTCGCTGGTCGGGTGGGGGATGGGGTGTAGAGTCGTCAGGGGCCATGGTGACCGTTCCCCCAAAAAGGTAAAAATAGGGGGTCGTGGGAGGTGAACGAGAACTCCCCAAAAAGGGAAATAGGGGGTTGTGAGAGGTGACCACCTGCGTACGCGCAGAGGGCCGGTTGGGTTCGTGTCCTCCCCTGGGCCCTCTGAGGTTCGGCTGGCGAAGACGCGCAACGGCCCCTGGGAGGAGGTGGCCGCTGCCTGCCCCGGCGGCAAGGGGGAGACGGAGGTCACCTTCGGGACGCGCTTCGCGAAGTACGTCCGCATCGAGCCGACGGCCTGGCACGGCCAGGCTTGGTGGCGAAATCCGCACCCTGACTTTTCGGGTCGTGACGAATACGACGGGGAGGTTTTCGCGAGGGGCCCAGACCCCTCCTCCTCCTCCTCCTTCCTCCTCCTCCTCCTCCTCCTCATCCTCCTCCTCCCCCTCCGCCTGCTCCGCCTCCTCCTCCTCCTACTCCAACGAGTCGGGGATAGCCGGTGCCGGGCACCCCCCACTGGTGGAGCCGGAGGGGCGGTCGGCGCCGCTTGCATCGGCAGTGTAGAAGTTGAGCCTGGCGGAGGCGGCTGGGGTCGCGCCTCCCCGTGGGGGGGGGGCGACCGGGGGTTGGAGACCTGGGCTACCCCCTTTGCGGGGTTCCCCCCATCTCCGGGTCCCTAGGCCCCCTCCGCCGCTCGCCGCCCACTCGGGTGAGGCCGGTGGTGCACCTGCGCGGCAAAGCCCATGCTGTGCGGCGCGTGGCGCTGTGCGGCGGCGCTCGGCGCAGGCGCGTTGCGCCGTGCTGCGGTGCCGTGTCGCTATGCGGGAGCGCGTGGGCGCGTTGCGCCACGCGGCTGGGGCTTTGAGGGCGCGCGGGCGTTCGAAGGCCCCGCCCCCAAGGCGGCCTAAGTCTTGGCCGGCGAGGCGGCGGGCCCTAAATGTCGTTTCGTCTGAGGCCAGTGGGCTCGCGAAAGAAATCCTCCTCGTCCTCCTCCCCCTCGTCCTCCTCCTCCTCCTCCTCCTCCTCCTTCTCCTCCTCCTCCTCCTCCTCCTCCTCCTCCTCCTCCTCGTCCTTCAGGCTCCCCAGGCCCCCTCGGGTAATGAAATAATCACGACTGCAGGTTTTACACTATGTTCAGCCTGTGGGGGCCCTTACGGGCCTCGGGACCGTCAAAAAACGACTCAGGATGAAGAGCCAGTCACGGGGGGATGGGTCGAGACCTCTGGGGATCCACGCTGTGAAAACAAACCAAAAGAACATAGCGTCGGAGGTCTGCGTTCGGCGGCGGCGAAATCCGAGCCCTACCCAGGCCGATCGACCATTCGGGCAACTGTATGGGCGGCGGGGATAGGGGTTGGCATTCGTCGATCACGTGGCGACATCCGAGCCCTGCCCCCGCCTCCCATCGATTCAGGAGGATCGATGGTTGGTGGGGGCACGGTTCGGAAGTGTCGTCACCTACAGGTCGCCATGAGGGCTGGCGTGACGGTGCGCGTGCCCCAGCTGTACCCGTACCAGGTGTTCGGCAATCGGCATTTTTTCGGGTATGAGATGCTCCTGAAGCCCAAGCCTTCTCAGGCACGGGTGTGGACAGTGCGGCGCTGCTCCGCCCGGTGCGAGGCGTCTGGCGAGCTGCTGCAGCTGCACAAGAACCACCTCCTGTCCGACGGAGAGCTCGGAGGAGAAAGCATTCTGGCAGAGTTCCCCCAGTTCGTCAAGGTGCTGAGACAGGAGAGCCTGAAGCGTGAAACTCACAGGCGCAGGATCATCGAGGATGAAAGTACCCCTAAATCTAGCAAAGTTCGGAAGACGTGGCCTCACTTAGGTCCCCGTCGCTGCATTCTGGATAATTATTGTGGGCGGTTAGGCTTGATATTTCTTCAAAAGAAGACCCTATCCCCTATGCTTTTGGTCCTTCCAGCACGGGTCCCCTCCCAAAGGGTTACGGGTCTTTTGTGCGAGTGACAGGATGTTGCACAAGTTCACCGCCGAATTGTGCTACCGCGATTTCGCGGCGACCTCTATCCAGACGGGCTGGCGCAGGGCGATGATTGGCAGCAAACCGCGCCCGGCCCTGGGCACCATTGTAACCGAGGAGGTGGGGTACGCGCGGTCGGATTCGTGCGGGACGGAAGCGCTGGACATGGCAAGGCTGAGAGAGGATCGGGGCGATCGAACTGGGCACGGAAAGACTGGGTGCACGAAGGCCGACAGCATTTTCTTCCCCTTCTGGACGGGCTCCGCTGCCGATGCCGGCTCGCGGGCCGTGCCCGCTCGAGACAGGAAAGGCCGCCTGCCCAGCAGCGGCCGCGGTCGGCTTTAGACGACATCTGGTGCTGGGCATCGTGCCCATCACTTCCATGCCCGTTCCCAGACCCCCTCGGGTGATGGAAGAATCAGGACGAAAGGGTTTTGCTATTTTCGGTCTCTGGAGGCCCTTACTGGCCCTCGGGACCGTCAAACAACGATTCATTATGGAAAGCCTGTCCAGGGGAATGGGTCGAGACCTCCAGGGGTCGACGCAATGAAAAAATCATGGTGTCGGGGGTCGGGGTTTAGAGGAGATGAGTGGCCTTGTGAACTCCGGCTTCGCGGGCCTCGGCCACCTGCGCAGCGGCCAGCTCGAGCAGCTGCAGAGGCTCGTGAGCGCGGCCCGGCGCTCTGGCGCCACGTGGACAGCGATGCCGCAGGCCTCGCCTGGCAGCGGCCCGCCAGACCGAGCTGCCCCGGAGACCGAGCACCAGGCCACAGCTCCTTTCGACTCCTCCGGCCCGATCTCGATCTCGATCTCGATCTCGATCCCGATCCCGATCTCGATCTCGATCCCGATCTCGACCTCGACCTCGACCTCGATCTCGATCTCGATCGATCCCGATCCCGAGTCCAGGCTCGGTATAGCTTCCCATCTGGGCTTCGGCCTCTCCCCCTTAAGGAGGCCTCCCCCGCCCGGCCTCCGACCTCCGCCGCTATCCTCCCCGCCCCGCAACCGCCGATATCCGCCTCCTCGACTCCCGTACTCCGGCGCTCCTGGCAGGCCCGGGCCGCCGCTGCCGCGGGCCCCGGCCCCGCGAGGACGCCGCAGCTGCTGCAGGTCACCGGCGCCGCCAGCCCCCGCCCCCCGGCGACGCCGCCGCCCACGAGGCCGCAGGCGGCCGCCGCCGCAGCGAGGCCGGCGGCGGGCGAGGGGCGGCCCGCCGGCGGCCCGCCGTAGCGCGCCCCGCTGCCGGGCGCGGCCTCCGCGCCGCTGCGGGCCCCGGCGGGTCCCGAGCAGCCCGCAGCGCCGCCGCCGCGCCGGCCCCTTCGCCGACTCCGGAGCAGGCTCGCCGAGCGGCGACGACCCATCGACTCCATGGGCTCCGACTCCATCGGCTCCCCGTCGGCGGCCGAGGCAGGCCGGGGCCACCGGCGCGGCCGCCCCCGGGGAGCCGGGCGCCGCCCCCTCTGGGCGGCGCCCCAGCAAGGCCCCTGAGCGCAGCTTAGCTGCCAGCGGCCAGGAAGAAGGGGGAGTGCAGTTGTGTATGCGCTGTAGCCTGCAGCCCGTGCGGCTCCTTGTCTGAAGGGTTTCGCCCCTCGTCCGCCGGGCGGAGGAATCTTGCGGAGCTCGCAAGACAGCTCTGGGGCCTTCGGCCTTCCTGGTCCATCTCTTGGGGCTCTCGGGAACATCGAGTGCCCCTGTGGCAACCGCAGTGGCCTCCAGGGCCTTCTTTGGGCCCATCTTGGGGACATCTTGGGGCTATTTGGGAGCCTTGTTGGCCATCCTGCGCGCTTTGGAGCGACGCCACCTTAGGGCCGTCTTGGGCAATACGGGGGGCTCTGGAGTCCTTGATGCAATCTTGGTAAAACGTGGGAAAGACGTCGAACACTCACTGTAGTGCCCATTATCTGTTTGTGCGTCAATGGGGCGGCTTTGCGCCCCCCTGGGTCATCCTAATTACAGGGATGATCTTGGAGGCCGTCTTCGGCCGTCTTGGGCAATTGAGGATCTCCTCGGAGCCTCTCGGGCCCGGCCTGGAGGCCTCCCTGGCCCTCTGGCCGTTCGGTAACTGTTGGAATCTTGCGGCAGCCTCGAGCGGCCAGGAGACTGCGAAGGGCCCCCCTCCCCAGGTGGCTTCTTTCGGCGCCGCGGGCCCCTGGGCACACAACGCAGAATAACTTATTCTGAATAAGGTCGTGAGTCACGAGCGGCGAACATGTCCGTACCCGCGCCCTCCTCACAGTCCAGACTCCGGGGCGCGATCCCGCGGATACGCGGTCGCACGGATACGTGCCGCGCGGGGCGTCCGCGAGATAATGCCGCGGGTCTCGGCCCAGGGGCCCGGCTGGATATGCCGCTGCTAAGGACTTGCTTGTCGCACGACAAGAAACAAGACTGCAGGTCCCCCAGTCCCCGAGTTCCAACCCTCGAAAAGATTTGGCTGCTCAGAACAAGGGGGGAACCCTGGGATACGCTCCAAGGGGGCCACTCGGACGCACCCCTGTCGAG